GATCACCTGTGGCAGTTGCTAAATAAAAGTTAAGTTATTTTATTTTCACCATTCATAAGAAGTCCTTGGAGTGCTATCTTTATCTTATTTCTATCAATTCTGCTGGCAAGCACCGGGCTATATATATTAATTATTGGAGTGCAAGCATTGGAATATTTTATATATGTATATCCCCTTAACGACCATTTACGTACTATGTACGTCTGATAAAAAAAAACAAAAAAAAAACGTTATGAAGGGCAGCGGACGTACCTAGTACGACGGTGGCAAATAGGAGCCCTGGACTGGCGATCCGCTGCGATCGCGGTCGGGGCGGACTGCCGGAGACCCCAGCAGTCCCCCTGTAGCAGCTCTGGCCACCCTGGCCCTCCAGGGCCATGTGATCACCATGATCACATCGCCACAATAGGAATCTAGGAGCTGCCAGCCGAGGGACTGTCTGAGCTGTCAGACAGTCCCCCAGGCTACTTAATTTTTTTTTTATTTTTTTTTAAATATATATGTATAATATATTATACAATAATGAAAGCATTTTGTAATATATTATACATATATAATGCATACGTATGATTTCATTATAAGTGTACTTTGAGATATATACACATATATCTCAAAATACACTTATAATGCAACCATATATATGCATTATATATGTATAATATATTATAAAATGCTTGAATTATAATATGTTATACAAATATAGGAAAGTGTGTGTGTGTATGTGTGTATATATATATATATATATATGGAATTCAAGTAAATGTCCAAAGTTTAATGACAAATAATTAAAACATCCAAGATCAACGTTTCAGTCCTTGCAGACTTTCATCAGGATCATAAGATTAATAAGACATACATGCACCTTATATATACCCTATAAAATTATTCCAATCAAGCAGATTGAACAAATTAGTGAAAATAACTCACTATGAGTGCATGCCAATGTAAAGTGCATAATATAAAATATGTAAAGAAATATACCTAAGTAGTTCTTTACTATGAGACCACTAGGTCTAAAGTGCAAATGTTTTAAAGTGCCAGTGATTACAATAAAAGTGCTTAAATGTACAAAAAGCATAAGTGAAAGTTAAAGTGACAAGTGAATACTAAAGTGCAAACTTGTTTTAAAAAAAATCTGCTTCGACCAGATGCACTACTGACAATACAAGATTGCATTTAAGTAAAAAGACTGAACACACACACAAAAAATTCTAACACATCAGACATATGCAATTAAGTTCAATAATAATGATGAGACCCATTTAATTAATGTTGCTCAAGTATAAAATAGTGATGTAGCAAGAATTCAAGTATTGGCCATATTTATAACTTAAAGGCCTTATTTAAACTTTGATTGCTATCTTGACTGCCGTAATTATGGTCAGTGTCACAAAATATATTGATTGAACCTAAAAGACAAAACACATAAATTAAAATAATAATGCCAGCTGGAGCACAATACCCCTGTTGCTAATGGGTACCTGGAATTGCAAATAGCAGTATATTGAATACCAATACATGGTATGCTTAATATACCATAGCGGCATAATAGTTTCAACAGAAATAGACCATATATTAGAAGCAGACCTCTATATTGGGAGCTAAGTCATAAAGACCAAATATTAAACATGCGTCTCATCAAAAGACTATTGATACATTACAGAAAGGAATGAAAAAAGATGTGTTCATTTAAGCCTTTTGGAGATACTGTGTCCAAATGGTAGATCCAATAAGTTTCTCTATTCAATAGCGCTTTTCCTCGATCCCCAGCCCTATTGGACAGTGGAATATGATCGATAGCCACGAACTTCAAAGAAGATAGCGGATGTTTAAGTTCCAAAAAATGTTTGGCTACAGGCTTGTCCGAAGACCCATCTCTATACGCCAACCTAATGCTGGACCGGTGTCCCCGAATTCTCTCGCATAATGCGGTCTCAGTTTTACCAATGTATGCTAGGCCACACGGACATGTCAACTTGTATATAACATGCGTTGTTTTGCATGTAATGGTCCTCCTGATGGAATACTGCTTATTTGTATGAGGGTGGGAAAAAGTTTTTGATGGCGTCATGTGGCCACAAGTGACGCACCCTAGGCAGCGAACACAACCCCGGTTTTGGGCAGTAATATTTTCTGTGTAACTTGAAACAGGGTCTGTATGGACTAGAAGATCTTTTAAATTCTTGTTCTGTTTGAAGCAAATAAGAGGTTTTTCAAGAAATTTAGTTTATATATATATATATATAATGGAAAATTGTTTCATACTTACCATAATTTTCTTTTCCTGATAATTATTCATGGCAGCATTTGCTCATGGGTTAGCTCCTCCCCTTGCAGCAGAAAGGACAGGAAATAGAACTTTGAAATTGATATAAATATATCCTCCCCCATCCCATCAGGCAGTCTTTGTAACTAGCTTCACAACTCCTATAGTATATGGGTGGGAACATAATGCTGCCATGAATAATTATCAGGAAAAGAAAATTATGGTAAGTATGAAACAATTTTCCAGTTTCCTGACCATTATTCATGGCAGCATTAACTCATGGGGAATACCCAAGCAGTATATATCGAGGACAGAGTTCAAAAACAGCTAAAAGCCATAAAACCATCATTGAGCTGTATAAATCTTAGAAGACTTTACAAAGCCAAACAAGAATCAATAGGAAATGGTCATAAAATCTGCTCAGACAAGATAATTTTTCCTAGATACCGCAAGGTCAGCAACATCCTGGCATTCAATATCTGAAATATCCTGAATGAATATAGAGTCAGATAGGAATTAAGGCCATGATAGCATAAGGTAGAGAAGGAAAATGTCATTCGGATATAAAAATGTAAAACCAAATTGATATCAACAAATCAGAACCTTGACAAAGGCATAACTTCCAGAGATCATACTGGAACAAGCAGATAATGTTGGATGAGAACGGACACACCATGCTATTAAACACGGGGAGAATTACACTGAGAATCCTATTACTTTCTGGATGTATTTATTAAATACGATTCATACTGCTTCCTCTTGCCTTGTGAACTACTTACCTGAAGATACAGGAACAAATCAATATCTGCCTGTCAGAAAGAGGCAAAGCCTAGTAGAGAAATAAGTGTTATTAAAACACTGCAACATTGACCCAATGTTGCAAAATTCAGATTCACAACAATACCTCACACAGTGGATGAATTGATACAGCAATGATCAGTCACAGGAGAGGAATAAACTAATAACATTACTAGGCAAAGGCAAGAAGAATCATATACAGATTAGTTGAGGAAAAAATGAAATATCGGTATGAACCATAGAATTTGTGGCAACTACTAAATTATAAGGAGGCCAACCACGTCAGTACCTACATTTGTAAATAGTACAGATTATGCCAAACAGTATAATCAAATTTATTAGAGACTGTTGTGCAACATAAGTAAGAGATATGTAATAGGCAAGATACTGATGGGAAGGTGGTAACCAGAGGCACATTATACATTGTGGCAACAGACACATAATGAGCAAGATAGGAGAAGATATTCAGTTATGCTTATGAGAACAACAACCGCATACTTACTCTTACCTTATCTTCAGATAGTGAAGAAGTATTTATGGCAGAGCCTATGGTGATAATAAGCAGCTTGTTATATTTGCAAGATATCAACACCAATCCAAGCATATAATCCACAAGTAGTGATGTCGCGAACCGTTTGCGAACTTCCCGCGAACGGTTTGCCGCGAGCTCCGGTCAGCTGACACATCCCGGCCAATCTCCAGCAGACCCTCCCACCTCCTGGACAGCATCCATGTTGAAGCTGCCGTTCGCGGGAAGTTCGCGACATCACTATCCACAAGTTTTAAATCAATGCAATGTTAGGAGTGACCATAACTTATACATATCTAGGTACAGAGACCCTGTAGAACATATCAGTCAAATGTTTGTCATCAACAAGCTGCATTACATATATATTATACAGGATGAATCAACCATTTAAAGCCACACATTGGTTGGAAATTCCAGATATAAGGACACCTAGAAGAATCCCCATGAATATCAGAAGAGAGGTCCGTAATGGAACTACCTGTTTAGGGATTTCCTCTATTGTTCAGGCAGCAGGTGATTTTTACCTGAAATAGTAAACCTGGTAGGATGGTCTGGGGACTGGAAAGACCTTAAAATACAGGGAGTGCAGAATTATTAGGAAAATGAGTATTTTGACCACATCATCCTGTTGTCTTACTCCAAGCTGTATAGGCTCGAAAGCCTACTACCAATTAAGCATATTAGGTGATGTGCATCTCTGTAATGAGAAGGGGTGTGGTCTAATGACATCAACACCCTATATCAGGTGTGCATAATTATTAGGCAACTTCCTTTCCTTTGGCAAAATGGGTCAAAAGAAGGACTTGACAGGCTCAGAAAAGTCAAAATAGTGAGATATCTTGCAGAGGGATGCAGCACTCTTAAAATTGCAAAGCTTCTGAAGCGTGATCATCGAACAATCAAGCGTTTCATTCAAAATAGTCAACAGGGTCGCAAGAAGCGTGTGGAAAAACCAAGGCGCAAAATAACTGCCCATGAACTGAGAAAAGTCAAGCGTGCAGCTGCCACGATGCCACTTGCCACCAGTTTGGCCATATTTCAGAGCTGCAACATCACTGGAGTGCCCAAAAGCACAAGGTGTGCAATACTCAGAGACATGGCCAAGGTAAGAAAGGCTGAAAGACGACCACCACTGAACAAGACACACAAGCTGAAACGTCAAGACTGGGCCAAGAAATATCTCAAGACTGATTTTTCTAAGGTTTTATGGACTGATGAAATGAGAGTCTTGATGGGCCAGATGGATGGGCCCGTGGCTGGATTGGTAAAGGGCAGAGAGCTCCAGTCCGACTCAGACGCCAGCAAGGTGGAGGTGGAGTACTGGTTTGGGCTGGTATCATCAAAGATGAGCTTGTAGGGCCTTTTCGGGTTGAGGATGGAGTCAAGCTCAACTCCCAGTCCTACTGCCAGTTCCTGGAAGACACCTTCTTCAAGCAGTGGTACAGGAAGAAGTCTGCATCCTTCAAGAAAAACATGATTTTCATGCAGGACAATGCTCCATCACACGCGTCCAAGTACTCCACAGCGTGGCTGGCAAGAAAGGGTATAAAAGAAGGAAATCTAATGACATGGCCTCCTTGTTCACCTGATCTGAACCCCATTGAGAACCTGTGGTCCATCATCAAATGTGAGATTTACAAGGAGGGAAAACAGTACACCTCTCTGAACAGTGTCTGGGAGGCTGTGGTTGCTGCTGCACGCAATGTTGATGGTGAACAGATCAAAACACTGACAGAATCCATGGATGGCAGGCTTTTGAGTGTCCTTGCAAAGAAAGGTGGCTGTATTGGTCACTGATTTGTTTTTGTTTTGTTTTTGAATGTCAGAAATGTATATTTGTGAATGTTGAGATGTTATATTGGTTTCACTGGTAATAATAAATAATTGAAATGGGTATATATTTGTTTTTTGTTAAGTTGCCTAATAATTATGCACAGTAATAGTCACCTGCACACACAGATATCCCCCTAACATAGCTAAAACTAAAAACAAACTAAAAACTACTTCCAAAAATATTCAGCTTTGATATTAATGAGTTTTTTGGGTTCATTGAGAACATGGTTGTTGTTCAATAATAAAATTAATCCTCAAAAATACAACTTGCCTAATAATTCTGCACTCCCTGTACTTGCAATACACAGCATCAAAAGTTACCTGGAGCATATGAGCCTAAAAGAATACCTTTATTGCAGAAAGGAAATTATAATGTTCCCTTTCAACAGGGGAATCTGTCAGAAGTTTCTGATCATTAACTCCTTAAGAACCAAAAGCATGCCACCCCTGACATATACTAAAAGGTATTGCCAAACTTTCAGGTATCCAAGGGATAAAAGAGAATACTGAATATAGATTTTATGATTTAAGGAAATTAATTCAGATTTAAAAAATAAAAAGTTATGACCAGGTGAAAGAAAAAATAATATTAACAGCTTTTAAATCAGGTAATGGCTTCAGCGTTGCCTACTTATGAGATCAAATAGCCAAATTTGTGCTCCTGCAACCAGTATGATCTACTAATCTGTGCATCAGTAATCAGCATATATCTGAAGGTAAAACACTGCCACCAATTGAAAAAACATTCCCTATCTTGAACAGAGAGGAGAGGATGCCTGGCAATAGACATTTTTTTGTAGATGGGTCTCATGTATAAATACATAGGAGTGCACACACACAAAAAAAAAAACAATTATGTCAAACATTACCATGCTTCATTTTAGCAACAGGTCTCCCTTTCTCCTTGGAGAGGCACTCAGACAGGTCTGGTAACACCTGCAATCTATCTGAAGTGGTAACATGTTAATTGCTTATCCTGAAACACCTGTGGGAGAAGGAATTTAATACAAAGCCAAAAGCAGTATGTTTCCTTATCTATTTCATTTAAAAAATGGAAATAGAAGATCCACAGTAGGCAATAATTACTTACCTAGTACAACAGTGCATTTGTATTTGCTAGAATTGGGCAGTGCTACATTTCAGCACAAAACAGACCTTAGATCATTTGTATATATTAAATCTACCAATGCCGTGTATAAATTAGGGTTATATAATGCTACCAACCTGCATACAGATTATATGAATCACATACATTGTGGATGTTTCTAACAGCACCTTATACACAGATATATCAGTTACATATACTGAGTCTATTTAAACAGTAATCATACATATCCTACATCTGCTATATACAGTGAGACTATGCCTGCACACATATTAACCCCTTCAGGACGGGTGACGGACGAGGTCCGTCACAGAGGGGAGACCCTTAATGACGAGTGACGGACCTTGTCCGCGGTAATATCGCGGCGATCGCGGGGTTAATGGTGCTCTGGTCTGCCTCTGTATTAGAGGCAGACCGGGAGTACCCGGTCAGGCTGCCCAGCATATGTGCTCGCTCTGACCGCATGTCAGAGCGAGCACATGTGCTCTGTATACTTACCTTCCGCCTCCCTGCACTTCCTGGTTCTGTGTGAAGTGCAGGGAGCCGGAACAGTGCTCATCCTGCCCCCTGTAGGAAAAAAAAATAAAGTTTATTTAAAGTCCCACCCCCCCTTTACCCATTGTAATAAAAAATTAACCCCTTCCCTGCCAATTGATCACTGACTACAGTGATCAATTGGCAAGGATTACATTTTACTATGATCTGATTTATTTTTTTTAACCCCTGAGGGTTAATTCTTTTTTTTTTTTTTTAACCCTCAGGGGTTAAATTTATTTAATTAATTAATTAAAATATTTTACAATTATATGTTTAGCTGGGGTGGGTGGAAGTTAGTGGGGAATTGGGGGATTTGGCGTTAGGCTAACTAGGGGTTAACGTTAAAGTTTTAAAATAAACTTTAAAAAGTTAAAAATTAAAAAAAAACACCCCCCTTTACCCAGTCCAAACAAAAATTAACCCCTTCCCTGCCAGTCGATCAGTGCCTACAGTGATCAAATACAGATCACAGTATTATACTGTGATCTAATTTTTTTTAACCCCTGAGGATTAACTTTTATTTATTTTTTAACCCTCAGTGGTTCAATTTATTTAATTAATTATTTTAAATATTTTAAAACTATATATTTTGCTAGCTGGGGTGGGTGGGAGTTATGGGAAAATGGGGAATTTACTGTTAGTGCTACTTACTGCTAGTTAGGGGTTAACGGTAAAAAAAAGCTTAGAAAAATTTTAAATCTGTAAAAAAGTTTTAAGAAAGTTTAGGAAAGTTTAAAAAAAAAATTAATAAGCAAAACAAAAGTTTAAAAACTAGTTTTTAAAAGTAAAAAAGTTTAAAAAAAGTGAAAAAATACATTTTAAAAATGCTCATTACCACTACACCTGGAACAAACTAGAGAAAAAATTATCCCACGCCAAGGTTCAAAATTTACCTTTTGAATTACCCCAGGGTGTATTCTTTAATAAATAGTATGTGTTTGTGGGGAAGTTTCAATAACCAACCGTCTAAACTACTCCAAATTGGAACATGGACACAGCGTAAAACTTCAAAGTTAGAAAAAAACTGAATGGCTGCGTCTCAAATGCGCCCCTTCAACATCCACATATACCTGGCAAAGGTACATACGGGGGTATTGCTGTACTCAGCCGACATAGCTGAGCAACATATTAAGTATTATACAGTCATAGCACACATAAGGTTTGCAAAATATGCTGCGCAAACTCACTTTGTATGTCAAAAAGGCAGAAAAAATGCTTATTACCACTACACTTGGTACAAGCTAGCGGAAAAATGATCCCACGCTAAGGTTCAAAATATGCCTTTTGAAATACCCTGGGATGTCTTCTTTAAGAAATGGTATGGCTTTATGGGGTATTTGGATTATATAGCCTGGTAAAATACTCTAAAATGGGACATGGGCACAGCCTAAAAACTTAAAGTTTGAAAAAAACTTGAATGGCTGTGTCCCAAATGTGCCCGTCCGATGTCCACATATACCTGGCAAAGGTACATACGGGGGTATTGCTGTACTCAGCCGACATAGCTGAGCAACATATGAAGTATTATACAGTCGTAGCACACATAAGGTTTGCAAAATATACTGTGCAAACTCACTTTGTATGTCAAAAAGGCAGAAAAAACGCTTATTACCACTACATCTGGTACAAGCTAGCGGAAAAATGATCCCACGCTAAGGTTCAAAATATACCTTTTGAAATACCCTGGGGTGTCTACTTTAAGAAATGGTAGGCCTTTGTGGGGTAGTTTGAATTTAAAACCTGCGAAGATGCTTGGAAATTGCACATAGGCCCAGCGTCAAAATTCAAAGTCGGTAAAAACGGATATGACTTGGTCTCCTATATGGCACTGTAGCTTCACGAAATAGTGCCAAAGACATTCATTGGGGGTGTCTTTTTACTCAGAAGACTTAGCTGAGCATAATTTGGGAGGTTTGAACTTAGTGGCACATATGAAATATACAAAAGACCCAGCAAAAATGCGATCCGTATGTAAAAAATGCACAAAATTATTTTTACCACATACTTTGGCATATATTGGTGAAAAAATGGGGGCATGTTAAGGCACAATATGCACCTAATGAGATACCCTGGAGTGTCTACTTTTACAAATGGTAGGCCTTTGTGGTTTTTTTTTGAACAGTCAAACTGTTATAATACCCCAAATGGAAGCTAAGGCTCATTAAATCCATCTCTCAAAATTCTACTGTGAATACTGAAAAGGACAGGTATCCTATATGGCACTGTAACTTCACAAAATA